CTATGTGAGTCAGTCTATGTGAGTCAGTCTATGTGAGTCAGTCCGTTTATCAGACTTCCGTTGCATCTATACTCATCCTACATTGGTTGATTCTTGGTTCTGCCCATACTCATTGGAGTATGCAACAGCAAGTCTACGGGCGAGTCTCCTTTCTCCCTGGTCTAGTCCTTTAACCTCACTGTCGTCTCCACTCATGAGTTATGTGCGACCTGCGATCTGCACTAGTGTCCTCTATGGGACCTACCACAGCATGGCATCCCACCGAATAAAATAAAATAAATGTTCGGTCCAGTTTTGTCAGAAAGTAGTCAAGCAGTAACAGCAGATAATCTCAGATTCCTACAAACAATTCTTTTGATACCATACTTGCAAGCAGACGCCGTCCGGGCGGTTCCGCACGTGCGGCGGACCGCCGGACCGGACCCGCGCGGCGCACGAATGTGCGCCCGACGACCAGTTACCCCATCACCCCCCCCCCCCCTTTCAAAAAAAGAAAACGGCCCCGTCCGGTCCGGGGGGRGGGKGCCGCACGCGGCAAAGCGGACCGGGCCGGACGCTCGTCCGTTCCGTCCGCTTGCAAGTATGATTCGTACTTTTGCGACTGGTCTGAAACAGATTGCAAATTTGCAATGCAGCCGAGAATATTTCCGGCGCTATCTGCAGCAGTCTGTTAGTCGTTAGCAAAGTCCGTAGCAATGAACTAATCAAAAGAAAAAAAAAAGTCATTTGCTAGTGTGCACTGTGCATGCAGAACGGAAATATACAATAATTATCAGTCGAGCAGTGTACTGGAATCTTCCCTCCCCTCTGTATCCTTCATGAGTAGTCACTGCACGTCCTGAAGCTCTGGTTCAGTGGCGTGTCTAAAGGTGTGCGATCGGCCCACCCCTGTGCCCCGAGTCAATGCAGAACTGGCCAGCCTCGACCGTACTATTTTTATACTCGCGTACAACACGAGTCGTGTATCCCCGCCGGAGTCTCTTTATAGACGGTCCGGTACTCGCCTCTCCCTCATAGGGCTGGCCTGCCCGACATGACCTCTACAGTGCAACAAGCAGACCAAAGGACAAGTGGCAAAGCATGCGTGTACTAGTCCCAGCGGGGCGTGGTGACCGTGACCCGAGTGCTTCGTCCAGGGCCCTTTAGAGGCAACTCCCGTCTCCCACCAGCTTGCTCCCAGGAAGAATGTCGACTCTCAGTGTTGAGCGCTCACTACACCTCACAATGCAAGGACTCTCAAGACAGAACTCACTTCCTCACGGTAAGAAGCAACAAAGAGGGTAGATAAGGTAAGGAGCTACGTACCTCATAACACTGCCCCCGACCACAGATTTCTCACCTGTAACCTGACGTGCATTTATGAGGACCGGTCGATGCCTCGGCACAACCCACAATACATTGCAGTTCCAGCTCGGCTTAAATGCCACGTCAGCAAGCTCTCATTATCCAGCGTGCACCCCTATGTCACCACATAGCCTTCCTGGCGCGCCCACACGACCCTCCACCGCCAACACACCAACGCACAAGTGTTATCACTGCCCCACCATATCCAGCGAAGCACCAAACAGCTATTGCGAAGGAGCCAGCGGAGCGGGTCGAACCACCTCTGATACCAAATTGCAAGGAAAATGATCGATAGAGAAATGACAGAAATCCAGAGTGCAAAATCACATTGAAAGCCAGCAAGTCCAACGCTTTCCAGAAAGCAGAAATGCACTGATATTCCACCAACGGAGAACCAAAGCACTGAATCTGAATCTCAATGAGAGCATACTCTCACCACCACCAACATATGTATCCAAAGTCCATCCTCCCAATTGGCGCTCAGCGCCCAGTCTACCATCTCACGGCTACTAGCAGCCTACGAATTGACACTGCATCCTGTTGACGTCAGCAGCCCCCCCCGTCTTACCGCGGCTGCTGGCACGGAGTTAGCCGGGGCTTCTTTTTCGGTTTTTGTCATAATCTCACTACCGATGAAAGAGCTTTACAAGATAAATCCCCTTCTTCACTCACGCGATATTGCTGGATCAGGCTTTCGCCCATTGTCCAAGATTCCCCACTGCTGCCTCCCGTAGGAGTCTGGGCCATGTCTCAGTCCCAGTGTGGCTGATCATCCGAAAAGACCAGCTCAACATCACCGGCTTGGTCAGCCTAGCAATATTTGACGTCGTTTGCTAAATTCTGTTGTTAATAAGATTTGTAAATCAGTGTTTCCCGTTTGAAACAAAATCAATAAAATAGCTACAAGCATGAAAACGGATCCAAGTAAAGTATATAAGAAAAACTGATATGCTGCTCGTATTTTTCTCTGTCTAGAACCCCATACCCCTATAATAATAAACATAGGGAAGTACATGAAGCTGTCGACCTTGTAGACCATTGCCAAAACCAGGTACGTGCTCTCACATCATCAACCTCACTTGCAAAGGGATGACGAAACAGTTTGTCACAGCCCCTCGTTTGTTGTCCTCTTCTCCCTCTTCTCCCTCTCTGCCTACTGTTTACCGTCTGCAGCTCTGTTTGACTATAAACTCGTAAACCGTAGGCACAGCGGGAGAAGAGGACAGCAAATTAAACCGTAGGCACAGAGGGAGAAGAGGACAGCAAATTGTATTATAGTCCATAAAAGGATGGAGGGCAAAATGTGCGTCTGCGTAAGACCTGCGCACTGCTGGCGTGGCAAGTTGCGCCGCCACAGTGCACATCAACGACACTTGCAAAAGAGCCCACAACTCTGTCTGCCCATGAAATGAATGCAAGCAACGTGAGTGAGGGACAGGCCACGGAAAACGTCAGAGTCGAGAACGAGCAAGTACAAAGTACTACAAAGTTAGTGCAAACACAAAGTGACAAAACTCAAAACTCGACAACAACAACAATAAAAAAAGCGCTAAGAAAAGTCAGAAGAGGTAACTGATGATGATGACAGATTTGTTTCGTTCGACTCGCACCGACCCATCAGGAGGCTGAACCCTGACAATCTGCAGAATCCCCATATAGAGTATTATAGACACTTTTCAGGATCGAAAAAAAAAAAAAAAAAAAAAAAAAAAAAAGGGCGGGGGGGCGGGAGAAAAAGAAAAAAAAAAAGAAAACAACAACCCGCACCAATCCTCCCTTTTTTTTTTTTTTTTCTTTTTTTAAAAAAAAAAAAAAAAAAAAAAAAAAAAAAAAAAAAAGGCTGACGCTGCGACGGCCTAATGATATCGTCATTGAATTGACCGTCCTCAGGCAATTCAGAATTATTTTATAAAATATTATATATACTCTTCAATGTCTTCATTTGAAGGTATCTGGATTCGAACTTGAGTCTGTATTTTAACAGTTTTGGGGGGGGGTACCAACCGGGCTACGCCCGTTGGCGATGCTCATGGAGATTAACTTGATTAAGGGACGAAAAAGAAAAAAAAAAAGAAAGGAAGTCCCGGACACTTAAATCCTTCCTCAAATAGGGAAGCAATCAATGCCACTGGCTCAGGATCCTTCAGCCATAATGGAAGGAGGCATGGAGTGGGGGTATTATATGTAAGAGACGCTGGACCCGGTTTCCATCCTGAGTAATAAGGATTATGGTTCGGGGGGGGGGGGGGGGGGGGGGGGGGTTATGCTGGGAGGGGGAGGCGGGGGGGGCTGTGAGTAGTAGAAAGGGGGGGGGGGGGGGGGGGGGGGGGGGGGGGGGGGGGGAAGGGAAAAGGGGGAAAAAAAAAAAAAAGGTTGTGGAAAGTGGACAGCTCACAGGCTACGCAACAAGCCGAACATGGCAGAAGGCTACGACGCAGCGAAGCACGACGCAATGTTAAACGGGCAGCTCGACTACAGCGCACAAAGGGCCTCGCTCCACTAGTCTCCACATGCACAAAAGACTATAAGTTTATAACTGAATAACTATGGCCGTGTATCTGCCCATGTTCTAGGGAAAGATGCGTTCTCTTGTTGCACATTTGGTGAGCAGTGGAGCGAGGCGCAAAAGCAAATGTCAGGGCTCGGGAGTTTGAAAAATAGCGCAAGCAGACAGGCGGCAAGGCAACAACGCTGTGAAGCACAAGGCAGCGCTGACGAGCAGCCAAACTACACAGTGCACAGAACGACAAGGCACGGCGATGGGCAGCAGGGCAACAGAGGAGGAGGGCAGACAAGGCAGTCCAACATAGAAAGCGACCTCTGTGCAATTCAAGAAAAAAAACTTTT